AAGTCATATAGAATAGCTGTTATAGACTTTCCTTTTTGCCATACACTAGAAGAAAACAGAACAAAACACAGGAAACGGTTCTTTTGTGCATGGGACAACAGGTGACGCAGGGCAGTGACTCCTGAGAGGAAGAAAGTAAGTGGGGTGAGAGCTATGGTCACCCTGGCCTCAGTTTGGAGGAATTTTCTGGACCATGAGTACGGACCCAAGCAGGCCCTGGAAGCCATGTGGGGATGAGATGGTGATTGTGCTTGGGGAGGCAGAGTCTGCTGGAATTCCTAGATAGGAGTGAACTGTGTTGAGGAAGTCGCCAGAAAGTTCATGGTAACTATCTCCTTGTATATGAGACTGAAGATGAAGTGAACACAAGGAGAGAAAAGAAACCAGGGCCAGAGCTCACACAGGCAGGGGAATGCTTGTGCTCCCCCACCAGAGTGGAGAGACCTCAAGTACCTAGGATGCTCACTAGAGAACACAGAGGGGACTCAGCTTCAGAACTGAGCTGGACTGCCCTGAGAGGATGGAACCTGTAGATATACCCTAGTAAAGCTCAAAACAAACCTCTAATGGTTAAGCGATAATTAACTTCCTACCAGAGAAGTCCTATATACGTTAAAGGAGACCAAAGTAAATGCAGATACCCAACAGTTTATTTTATCATGCCCAACATATAATTAAAAAAATTACACGTGAAGAAGAAAGAATTTAGCTGGGCGCTGGTGGCTCATGCCTGTAATCCTAGCTACTCAAGAGGCAGAGATCAGGAGGACTGCAGTTCAAAGCCAATCCAGGCAAATAGTTCTTGACACCCTATCTTGGAAAAACCCATCACAGAAAAGGTCTGGTAGAATAGCTCAAGGTGTCAAGGTATAGGCCCAGAGTTCAAATCCCAGTATTGAAAAAAAAAAAAGATTTAAGGGGACATAGGAATCTAATGAGGAGAGAAATCAATCGAATCTACAAAAACAAAAAAAAAAACCCCACTAAATCTCTGAGTTGAGATGTACACCTGGAATAAAAATTCACTGCACGGGGTTAGTCACAGGCTGGATCTGCAGAAGAGAAGATGAAGTCTTGAGGACATGGTAACTGAAATCTCTGAACTGAGGCATGGCTGGAGCAAAGCCTGAGGGGTGGGGATGGGGCAACAGAGGCTCCGTGACTGACTGACTGCCAGTGGATAACACATGTGTACCTGGAGTCTTAAGAGAAACTAGGAGGCTGGAGAGGCTAGAGAATTTTTAGAGGAAACAATTTCCAGAAGCTTCCCATATTGAATGAAAATTATAAATTCACAGATCCAAGCTCAATGAACTCTCACACATCAAAGAAAATAACCATAATTTTAAAAGCAACTAGAGAAAAACAAACAAGTTACACAAGTAAGAATGACTTCAGACATCTCACCAGAAACAATGGAGACCAGGGGATGATGGAACAAGGTCTTCAAAGTTCTTAAAAAGGTAACTATGTAACCATAATATTATAATTCAAAAATGAGGGCAAAATAGATTTTCCAGATAAATCAAAGGTAGAGAATTGGTTTATGGCAGACCACATAACAAAAATATTGAAATTCAGGCATGGGTGGTACACAGCAGGCCAGTGAGGCAACAATCCGTCACTTGGTGAGATGAGGGACAGTGTCTGCCACCATACTCTGCAGGGCTGCAGACGTCATGGGCAGACTCACTTTCCTGTGTTTCTGCCAATGGTTTCTCCTCCCCTGCTTCTGCTCTTGGTCAGTGTGACGTCTACTTTTTTTCCTCCCAGTACTGGGGTTTGGACTCAGGGCCTTGACCTTGAGCCATTCCACCAGTCCTTTTTGTGATGGTTTTTTTCTGAGATAGGGTCTCATGAACTATTTGCCCAGGCTGGCTTTGAACCACGATCCTCCTGATCTCTACCTCCTGAGTAGCCAGGATTACAGGCATGAGCCACCAATGCCTGGCATACTTTTTCTATCTGTTAGAAGGGAAGAAGTGAGAGAAACACCAAGTGGAAATTGGTACACAAAAGAATGAAGAATGTCAGAAATGATAAAATAGATGAATTTTCCTTGTTTTAAATTTCTTTAAAAGGTGACTGACATAACAAATATATTATGCTGGCAGAATGACTAAAGTAAAGCCTGCCTAGCAAGCATGAGGCTGAGTTCAAACCCCAGTACTGCCAACCCCACCCCCAAAAGGAACCAACAAAAAAAACCTATGTATCATGTTTTGTTTTGTTTGCAGTACTGGGGCTTGAACTCAGGGCCTACCTCTTGAGTCACTCCACCAGCACTTTTTTGTGATGGTTTTTTCGAGATAGGGTCTAATGAACTATTTGCCTGGGCTGGCTTCAATCCTCCTGATCTCTGCCTCCTGAGTAGCTAGGATTACAGGTGTGAGCCACTGGTGCCTGGCCTCATGAGATTTTTAAGACACTTAAAAGTAAACTGACTTTAGCTACTTGAGGGAAGATGGAGGTATACTTTTGTAAAGGTCTTATGGTGTATGTAAAGTAGCATAATATTTGAAGGCAGATTGTGAAAAATTAAAAATACATTTTGAAGTTCCTAGACTAATCCTTAAAAAAACAAAAATCATATAAAAGAATATCAAATAATCTTACAAAACAGAAAAAAAATAGAATGTAAAAAATTCTCATTCCAAAAGAAGGCAAGAAAAAGAGAGAAAGGAACAAAGAATAGATGGGACAAATAAAAAACAAATATCAAGATGGTAGGCTTAATTCCAACTATAACAAAAGATAATGAAAACATTTAATTACATTAAATGTAAGTAGTCTAAACATAAACTTAAAGGGCAGAGACTGTTAGACTGGATTAAAAAACAAAACAACAACAACAAAAAAAAACCCCCCAGATCTAACTATCTATTCTCTCTAGGGACTACATCTTAATTATAAGGACAGAGAGTAAGAGTAAGTGGGTGGAGGAAGAGTGCATGAGAGCTATCACAAGATTGACAGAGTGGCTATATTAGTAGCAATCGAGGTTGACTTCAGAGTAAAAAGATACAAGGATCAACTCATCAGGACATTATCACTGTGTGTGTGCACCTGTAACAGAACTTCAAAATACAAGAAGCAGTAACTGGTGGAGCTGAGAGGAGAAACAGACAATCAACAAGTGTGGTTAGAAGCTTTCAATATTTTTCACTCAGTAATTGGTAGAACAAGTAAACGGAAAATCAATTAACACAGTGTTTAAGTTTTTGAAACTGTCTACCATACTAGGACTGGTTTTCTATTTCTTCCTTAGAGACTAGCTAATAACTCAAATGTGACAGAAATAGGGAATTGAGTTTGAAAGCTACTAGTTTGCAACTTCCCTTCCTAGAATCCATTTCTTCATCTATAAAATGGGTAAATGCTGCCTTATACACAGGGGTGCTGTGATAATTAGATGAGAATGAAGAGCAGTCTAGATGACATAAAGCACTCTACAAATTTGGCCATTTTTATGGTCTTCTTCTGGTGGTTTAAGAAATAGGATTCCCTGGGGGGGCGGGGGCGGCTGGTGGCTCATGCCTGTACTCCTAGCTACTCAGGAGGCATGTATCAGGAGGATCATGGTTTGAAGACAGCCTGAGGCAAATGATTTGTGAGACCCTATCTTGAAAATATCCATCACAAAAAAGGGCTGGTGGAGTGGCTCCTCTTTGTGCCAGAGGGACAGGCACTACCCAGCCAGGGATTGATGGACAGACCGTCCACTTCCCTGACAGCTGGGGTGCCCAGCTGGCCCCTGGCTGTGGTCTCAGTACTGCATAACCCCTGCCCTGACCCTAGGCAGGGCATACAGAAAAACTGCAGAAACATTGCTTCAGTATCAACTGGTTTCCCAAACCTGATCCCCAAACTTCCAAACTTCCAGCCAGGTACCCAGGGTCCTCTCTCAGGCCTCCTGATTTCTGTTGTTCTGCTGCTCTTTGTGGGCTTGGCTTCTTTTGAGCCAGCTCCCTAAGCTCTGACCCAACCAGCCTACCAGCAGTCACACCTTCTTCAGGGGTGAGCAGCACACAGACTAACCTAGGCTCGAGGAAGCTTACTTGGCTCCCCTGGCCTGAGGCAGCCTCACCATCCGCCACTGTTTCTGGTATTCCCATACATGCTCTGTGCCATGTCCTGACACCATCCAAGACCCAGTGCTCTTTAAAAGTGGGTAGGGACTTTTGTACAATAGGTCATTCATATTCTTGAGAAACTTGAGTGAGCTTTTAAAATAGGAAAGGAAAATGCAAAGGACATAGCAGAGTCAGAAACAAGGAGGAATCATGCCTTAGGTTCAGCACAAACCTTGGATCAGCTGAGTATGTCTAAAGACAAAATTCAGTTCACAGCACCATAGGGTGTCATGTACCATGATTCCTGCAGTGACTACGTGCCAGGGAAAAGGCAAAAAGTCTTAAGAGAAATCTCTGATGGAGTCTTAATCCTGGGGCCTTGAACTCAGTGGTCATTTCTCAACCCCATCAGAGGAGTTGCAAAGACCTCTTCTTCATTCTGTTTTCTCCCTACTGACTCAGCAGCACCACTCCAAAAGCTACAGTATAACCATCAGATATACAATTTCAGCATGGCCGACTGCAGAGATCCATAGGACATTCCTTCTATCGTGTTGGGATGTATCTGCAAGAAGTGCACTCATCCTCCCACTGTGTCTGGAAATCTTTTAGTCAAGTGACAATTAGGGTCTAAACATAGACTTCAGGGCTTCTACAATGTCCATGTGTACCATAATTACCAGGAATCTCCTCAAAGTGCAGACACTGCCCCTGGGAGATGGTGGGGCCTGAGACCCTAAATTCTGGCAGTTTTCCCAGTTATGTGTATGCTGTGATCTGATGCTCCCGTTTTGAGAAGCAAAACCAAACCTCATCACGTGCCCAGATCACTTGGCATCAAGGCTGGAAGTCTTGCATTCATTCATGTATTTACAATAGAGGATGTTTACCCAAAGCACCATCAATCCCAGCAAGTATGAAACTTACCCAGAATTCTTGCAGTTCTGTTAGATGGCTGATATTTTCAATCTTTTTGATTCTATTTGATGCAATGTCCAACATCGTGAGCTTGTTCTAAAATAAGGAAATAAAAAATTTCTGGGATTACTGTAGTTCAATGTGTAACCATGCACATAGTGTGAGCTGAGCTTAGAGCTGTGGGCAAGCCACTCTCTCTGCCTTCTGGCAGCTCTAATGCCACCCGGCTAATGTGACCTGCTCACTTCTTGCAGCCTCCCCAGCCAGACCCTGGTTTCAGTTTCCACACAGCCCTCATTGAGTTCTTACTGTCCCCGGGATTTGAACCAGGCTTTTTCAGTCCCTAAGCCCCAAATCCACTGGGAACCCCAGTGAGACCAATGGTCCTAGAGGTCTGATAGGGGCTTTGAAGAAGGATGGCAATTGTAGCAATGTGTATTTGGTACTTACTGTGAGAAAGTAAGATACCAAGTAATCCTCCAAATGGAATTCCCCTCTTCAAAGCTGGGGATGAAAAGAAGCCTGGGGCTCAGTGAGGGTAAGAAACTGCCAGGCACACAGCAGAGGAGGGCCTCTGGGCCCAAGTCCACCCTCCTAACAGAGGACCTCTTGTCTGCGACAAAGCCACCAGGAGCAGTGTCAGGAAGGCCTAGGTGCTGATAAAGGACCAGTATTGTACTCTGCTGGAACTTACAGCTGATGGGAGCAAGAAGGCAAGCAGAACCTCAGCTACTAAGCACTGGGTCCCAGGACACGCTGAGCACCTGCTGCTATGACTGTGCATACCTAGCAGGATACAACATCCAGATTCTTCCCAATACCAAGCTAAGCCTGGATAATTGTTTTAAGGTTTATAGAGTTTCAAGACTTAACAAAATTTTTTTTGTGGCAAAAATTTCATCTGTCACAGTACAAGCTGTGTGTTTAACAAACCACCCAGCATGTTTTACTCATCCCAAGGGGACTCATTCACAAGTTGGCTGAGCACCTGACAGCAGTTCCCTCCCTCCCCTCAGTCCTCATGTTGTCCAGGTTCTGCTGATAAAGGTCCCGGCTTCTGTTTTCTACTATATTCCTGGTGCTCTGATTCCAAATCCTTCCAAGTTTTAAGTTTAAAAACATCTCAATCAAATGAAAACAAAACACACAAACACATTAAGTGCCCAGTCAGTAGCTCTGAAGGTTCAAAAGTTCCATGACCCTGGCCATGCTTCTGGAGGACTCTGCAGCACTGCCCCCACCTGCAAGCCCAGTATTGCACCAACACCAGGCACACGTGCAGGGAGCACAGGCACAGCTGCCTCCTTCAGCAAGCCACATGGTTACCATGACGAGTTTCATGCACAAGTGGGGAAGCTTCTTCAAGCCAGCTTATTTTGCTGCCCCAGCCAAGTCTGTTCAGAGTACAGACTGCTGCAGTGTGCTGATTGGGCAGAGCAGAATGTGTCTTAGAACTCTGCAGAGTAGAGGGCTGTGGACAGCCTATGTATGCATAGCACAGAGGCAGGGCTGGAACAGGCCAGGTACACTGACAGCAGCTCTTCCCAACTCTGTGTAAGTCCCCAACTCTGTGTAGTCACTCTGTATTCAAGCCTAGAAACTGGCAAAACAAAAGTAGTCTGAAACACACAGTAAAGTGGAGCCTTGTGAAGTCCATGCACAAGGCTTAGCACTAGGACAGAGTACTAGGGGCAGGCACTGGCTGTTAGGACTGGTCCCCAATCTCTGAGCTCAGGGGTTCAGTTTTATACTCATGTGTACTAGGAGGACCCTCTTGTTAGGAACTGGATGATGATTTGAAAGCCCACTCAAAAGCAAACTAAAATTGCTTACAAAAAAGCAGCCAGGTGTGGTGTCGCACACCTGTAATTAAAGGTACCAGGGAGGCAAGGATAGGAAGATTATGAATTTCAGGCCAGCACAGGCAAAAACTGGCTAGACCCTATCCCAGAAACAAAACACAAAAGGGCTGGAGGTGCGGCTCAACTGGTACAATACTTGCCCAGCACGCTTAAGTACTGGGTATGAGTTCAATACCCAGTACAGGAAAAAAAAAAAAAAAAAACAAAAGGAAAAGGAATGGTGTGACGTGCATGCACACCAGAGGTCATGGCTTCCTGTGTTGCCAAGTAACACCTGGTCAGGGTTTGGTGCAAAACCTGACTAACGGAGAGAAGAGCCCAGGGTGTAGTGTCACACTGAGGAGGCGCTTTCAGATAAGTGGTGTTGGGTGGGACACTGCACTTGCCATTCGGGCAAAAAAGTACATTACTTTCTTACCTCCCACCATGAAAATAAATCACTGATCAATTAAGGGACAAATCTTGGAAGAAAAATAGGTGAATATTTGATGGACATTACAATAACATAAGTCATCTTTAACACAGCAACATTTTTTTTCTGCTTTGTTTCTCAGGCCCAGGAATGATCTGAAGTTTAACGAGAGACCTGCTGTGTGTTGGAACCATGCTACAGCCATGTCCATCTCCCTGTGAGAGCAGTGTGCGCACCCCACCCAGCTTCCCGCTTTCTGCAGTTCCACTGTTCCAGCCACAGCCATCTACCCACTAGAATGCCTCAACTCTAATACTGCACAGCAGAAAGGAACACCTGGTTCACATGCTGGTTTTATAAACTCTAGATCTGACTGCATAGTTGAGGAGATGATCAAATTTCCCATCATAGGCAAATTTTAGCTTTTCCAAAAATTTCTGTAGATGTTGCTGAAATGAAATTCAGAACATAGTTTTTCCTCCAGAACAATACTGATGGCAACCAGGTCCTGAGTGGAGGCACAAAGGAGCCTGTGGTGAGACTGAAGCATGACGTTCCCAAGAACAAAAAGTGACCCATCTGGTTACATTTGCTGGCAATTTAACATAACAGAAAAAAAAATCCAGTAAAATTGAATGAGAAAAAGTATTTTATTTGTCTGAAATTCTTTCTGAGGAAAAGCAGGTGGAGCTAGAGGCAGCTGTGGGGGCAGGAGGTCCCTGGACACTTGTCCCTGTCAGCATGTGAGGCTCTTCCAGAGCAGGAGAGCCAGGGGGAGTGAGGGAGGGAGCAGGACAGCTGGTGGTGAAAGACAGTGGGGAGGGGTTGAGGGGAGGAAGAAAGGAAGAGAGCGCTAGCAGTTCAGGAGAAAGAGAGGCAGGAGAAGCAGAGGGAAGCACACTGCTTCCTTCAAGGGCAGCTGAAAATCAAGCTCAGCGCATGGGCCCTGCAGGCTGGGAAGGGTGACCAAAGCAGCTGAGGTGGGGCAGGAAGTTCAGGAGCCAGGAGGGGAAGGCAGGAACAGCGGTGACACCAGCTGTCCTTGTCGTTCAGGGGCAGGAAAGGGATTTCTCAACTCCTCCAGAAGGCATACAGTGCACGGTGGATGTGCAGTGACTGTTGCCCCAGGAGGGGTCTGTGGACACCTCTGCTGAAATCTCACATGCAGCTGGGGCATAGGATACACTCAGGGCGGAAAGCCTACTGCTTGCACCTCATGTACCTCCCAGCATGAGAAGGGATCCCGCCATTTTCAGGATAGGAAGGCTCTAGATAAACCCATCAGGCAGTGCATCTACCTTAGACCAGTCCGGGACAGCAGTGTATGCTGGCTGCCAGCTGTCTATCCTCCCCACTCCCTGACACCACCCCAGACAGATCAATGGGCTCTTACGTTGTTCTCCAGGCCCTCGATGACCTCGATGCCATTGTGGCTGAGGTACAGCTCCCGTAGGTTCACCAGGCTCTGCAGACCTTCTATCTTGGTCAGCCGGTTGCTCTGCAAGAGGGAGAGCCGGCAGCTATCAGAGCCACACGGAGGATAAGAACCACAATGGCCTTTAGGAAATGAGGTTTCTCATTATCTTGAATCCTAAAATAGTCATTTCATTTAAAATGTGCTAGAATGGGACTTGTGCAGAGAAAAGAGGATCAAAATTTTGAGTCTGGACAGAGGTGTGGCTCAAGCAGTAGAGTACCTTCCTCTGAAGAGTGAAGCCCTGAGCTCAAACATTAATATTGTCAAAAAACAAAAAGTTTACTGACATGGAAAAACATGATTAAAAAGTTTCTGTTGTACTGGGCTAAAATTCATGTATGAAGCTGAAAGTTTCATATATAAACAACTCACTTTTTAAAGATATACTTTAGGAAGGTTTATTTGAACTAATGTAACAATTTTAAAATTACTGAGTATCTTAAAATAAATTAATTCTCATTTCTTTTAGAATGTATTGTAACTTAATTAGACCCTAAGAACTTCTTTTCTAAAGCTGGCTACAAAACATTTGCTTTTCCAAGGGCCTGAGTGGCTTTGTGTGCCCATTACCAGTGGTCAGTGGGACCTCCCACACCAGGTGTCCCCAGCACACCCAGTCATGTTTCCCCTCAAAGTGTGATTCCACAAATTTGCTGATGCCTACTCCAGTGCTGACCAGCTCCCAAGCCTGCCTTCTCACAGGTTCTGTGCTCCCTGTACAATGGAAAAGAGCTTCTACATTGATGGGGTCTCTTAGAGGATTGAGGGTGGGCTTGTCTTTCTGAAGGCCCTGAAAAATGATCTAATGACTCAATTTCTAATAGGAAAAGAAACACAACCCTTAAAGAATGAAATTTTTAAAAATTAAATAAAAGATGAACTTTAGTTTGGCACATATGTGTATGCATAGTCTGAATTCTAACGTTTCAACCACTTACAGATGGTGGACATTGTTGGTTATGGACACGAGGAGGGATAAAAATCTGCGGTTGGCTTGGTGTGGTGGCACATGCCTATAATGGCAGCACTGGGGAGGCTGAGGGAGGAGGGTCAAAAGTGAAGCCAATCTGGGCTATATAGCGAGACTGTCTCAAAAATAAAAAACAAAGCCAAGGTAAATTGTGGTTGGGTTTAATGGCTCTGGCCCTATTGGGGTGCAAGGGGCTGGAAGCTGGGGAGGATCAATACCTGCATACTGAGGACTGTCAGATTGGTAAGTGCATCCAGGTTCTGAAGTTTAGTAATTTTGTTTTTTCCCAGAAACAAACTCTCCAGGTTGGTTAACGTGTCGATATTTTCGATTGCCTGTGAAAAGGATGGAACAGCAGTCAGGACTGTGGCAGTAAGCTGTATCTGGTAAAGGAAGGATGCCTGGACCAGGAAACAAAGCAATCTGGACTTAGCTCTGTGATGCTGGGTAAGTTCTTTATCTGTTTGGTGAATTTTCCAGTGAAACCTTACTTGAAAATACAGTGAGAAAAAGCAAGAAAATGGTGAAGTGTCCAAACCCTGCCTCTTGGGCTCGTTTAAGAGTCCTCACATTGTCAAAGCTCTGGGGTTGTGGGAAACAAAGTCTGAAAGTCCATGAGGATCGAGGGGCAGGTGCATTTACTCTATGGCTTTCTGTCTCCTTGCTCTGTTTCCAATCTCTCCATTGTTTTTTCTTGCTGTCATGGTATGCTCTGCTTAACCTAAGTCCAAGGCAGGGACCATGCTGTCCCGTCTAATCTCTCTGTGGTGCCTTCCTTATAGCAGGTGGTTTAATGACCAAGTATTGACTTGACCTCAGTTTCCTTCCTCTCAGCTTGGCACACTCTTAGAACAATATTTCAGCAGGTGAAACAACCAGATTAAAACATGCTAATATTAAGTAGTGATGCCTGCCAGTGCAGGAGGTACTGAGCTCATCTCAACCACCTCGACAAGACATGGCATCCTTAACTGCTGCAGCTGGTACAAATGTGTTGAGCACCTTCAATTTGAAAAGCTCTGCAGTGGGGACTAGGTTAAGACAATGACAACTGGGCTCTCTCTGGTTTTAACTGAGCTGTTTTGCTATTTTTAGCTGTGAGAACTCTAGCAATAACTGCTAAGAGAGATTCCTACCAAAACCACTCCCTTGGTTTACACCCTGCCCAGCTCTCAGGGGCCCAGCAGGACTGGCCATAGCATGCTATGAAACTTCCAGACACAAAATGGAGGGTGCTTCAAACATGAGGTGACAAAGATGTACTCAAAAATCCCTGCTTCTGAGGCTAAGCAAGGCAAAGGAAGCACAGACTCACTGCTATGACCCAAGGAAGATGCCAGGTATGGGCCTGATGCTCTTCTGGCTCATAGAGCCCTCACTACTCTTCACGGGGACGCTCTTTCCTTCTTGCCTGGCAGATCCACCCCCAGTAGATCCTTATGTGACCCTCTGAAGTTCCCCTCAGTCAGATACCAGGAACTTTTCAGAGCAGTTATTTATCAGCTATGGAATACTACATCACTTTTCAGAAGTCTCTAATTTCCATTCTGCCAGATGGATCCTGGGGCACATGTCTAGAGGAGGAATGGCCAGCCCAGCACAGTGTTCACTGTGTGCTTGGGAAACTCATGTTGGATGCATGCCAGAGGAAACCACCATGAGCATGTTCAAAAGCAGCATCGGGGCTCACCTTGTGGTGCCCAGCCAGGAACGGCTTGACATAAGGTCATTAAGTGGATGGAGATCAACTGAAATCCATGCGCGGAGACAAAGTAAGACCACTCGGGGTGAGCACACATTCTTTTTGTTACAATTTTTTTGGTGGTACTGAGGTTTGAACTCAGGGCTTTCTGTTTGGTAGGCAGGTGCCCTACCGCCTTAGCCATGCCTCCACCCCAACATATTCTTATTAATACTGATTTCCAATGACCATTTTTTCTTAAAAAAGTTGCAATTTCCCTGTTCCTGGAAAACCACACCACCCTTAAGAAAAACCCAGTGGAGCACACACCATACGTGTGTCACTGTGGATCCGCTTAGCCCAGCGAGCTTCCTCCCAGGACACCAGCATATCCACGGACCTACCCGGATGCGATTAGAGCCCAGCTCCAGCATTTGCAGTTGATGTAAGTTGCTTATGTTCTCAATTTTATTGATTTTATTGTTGACCAAAAAGAGTTTTTTCAGCCGTGTCAATTTGTCGATTCCTTCAATGTTTCTCAGCAAATTAAAGGAAACATCTAGGATCCTGGGAACACACAAAACACCATCCTCTTAAGTGAACACAGACTGCACAGGCATTGTACTTTAGCTTAGAGGTGGCACCCCATCAGGGGACTGCAGTCACTGTGGGGTGGGATCTGATCGTGGCCTGTCATATACAACCATGAAGGCTGCTGAGAAGCCTGGAGAGCACCAAGGCTAGCCTGAGGCTCCTGACACTCCGCCTCCCAGGGCAGTAGTGGGGCAGACATCAGGACTCATTCATATGTGTGCCCATGGTGTCCTGCCAGCCACTGCACACAGAAGGGATCTGAGAAGTACTGAATTAAAAACAAAATAGGCTGGACACAGTGGCACACACCTGTAATCCCAGCTACTCAGGAGGTAGAAATTGGGAGGATCATGGTTTGAGAAATGTTAGTGAGATCTCATCTCAATAATAAGTTAGGCCAAGTGGCACATGCCTGTGTATGTAGGAAGATCCCAGTCCTAGGTAGACCCTGGTCAAAAATGCTGGCCCTTATCTGAAAAATAACTAAAGCAAAAAAAAAAAAAAAAAAAGGGCTGGGGTGTGGCTCAAATATAAAACAACCATAAACCAAACATAAAACCAAAAAACCCCAAACAAAAAACATCAGCAAGCAACCAAGAAGAAGTCCAGATTAAAGCTATATCTAGGAGCTGACTCTTTCAATTAGAAATGCTGAAAAAAAAAAAAAATTTGGGATTAGTGCTTTCTTCTCCCTCATTTTATTATTATTCCTGAATGGAGTGCTGCTAGAGCCCTGCTTCAGCCTTCTGATCAAGACTCTCTAGCAAGCCAAAGGCATGCATGAAGCTGCTGTGCCTTTCTCGAACCCTGGAGGTGCACGGCAGGCAAAACTGGGGGCCAGGTGTGGGCCAGGACCCGGTGACAGTGGTAGCCCCCTAAGGGCTAAGGCTGGGTAGAGGGTGGTGTTGGGGAGACGGATCACCCCCACCCATCCTGTCTCCTCTGGTCTCTACTCACTCCAACTCTGTCAGTGCCTCCAGGTTTTCAATCTTCTTGATCTGGTTGTCGTAGAGATCCAGCTCTCGAAGACTCTGTAATTCCTCCAGGTTCTCAATGCATTTGATTAAGTTCTGACGGAGACAGAGAGTCTGAGGGATGGGAAGAAGAAGACTGGCTCAGGACTGGCCTTCCAAAGGACAGGATGTGTTTCATTCTCTCACTGCTTCCTAGAGAGATGCTGACCTTCAAGAGGTAGGTGAGCCAAGGCGTGAAGCTAGAATTGCTCTGCCCCACTTGAGGACAGGCAGGGGTCCAAAGGGAGGCCACAAAGCCCTACACCAAGCATACCTGCTCAGGGAGAGAGGCCTGGATCTGGAGCTGCACTGTGTACCAGATCCTGGCAGAACAAAGGAACCCTTTGTAGTTTCCACTTTGAGAAGCCAACTTCACTACAGTGAGTCAAGAATTGTAGACTTCAGTTGAGTGCTCAACTGAAGGAGGCTCAGAGCTGAGGCAGCTCCCTGCTGCCTCTCAGGCTTCTCAACTGCCAAAACACACCTGCCACATTCAAAACACAGGACGAAGCACAGCACAGGTCAGTGCCTTCCACGGAATGGGAACAAGGACAGCATCCCTCTTACCTTCACTTTCTTCAGTACCTCGAAGCCTTCGATCTTTCCAATTCGATAGTGGTTCAGATCGACATCCTGAAACACAGAGGAACTCTATCTCAGCTGCAGCAAAGTGCGTGAAGACCGGTTTCCCAGAAAGGAGCTATCAGTGGAGGCTACCAGAAGGGGGAGGTGAGCGAGAGGACCTGAGACTGAGCTACATTTGGTCTGTGATTGGCAGATGATGGTGACACAGAATGAATTGCCAGGTGCTCTTTGGTTTACTTGTAATTTATGAGTTTTAGGTAAAAGTGACCCTCAAAAACACTGGCATGTGGCAGCTTTCTCTGGCCTCAGAGAAAGCTCTGAGCACAGAATGTAAACCCAGGTTCCAAGATGACTCCAAGATGGCTGGGGAAGTGAGGACTCTACCACATACAAGTAATCACTAGTCCCATGTAATTTATGAGTCACAGGCATTTCATTTGTCACACAGTTCTTGGGTAAACAGAAATGGGATTTCCATCACTGGTACTGAAACACAAGAATACAAGAGACACACCCAACCGAGGGAAATCACTTCATAAAATATAATCTGATGAGTCAGGGTGGTCCATCACTACCCTCCTGAGGCTGGTTCCGGCAGATGGTATTACCTCTGCATCTCGATCCAGGTTAATTGTTTCCATATCCACAGCCAGCTCATGTTCTGCTGAAAAAAGCAGAAGGAAAAAGGCTCATTTGGAACTCTGTTTACAAGAGGCAGTGGCCCAAGGCGTTGGTAAAGAGCTGCCACTCTAGCTAGGGCCTGAGACATTTGGCTCACAGAGCAAACTCAAATGCAGGGTACACCAAGGGGTACTTGAAAGGGTGATGTTTTGAGTATTCTTAGTTTCCTGGATTCAGCTATTGGCGAGGTCTCCAAACTTCCATCTGTGCCTCTGAACTTCCTAAGAAAAGAAATTCAGCTTGACACTATGGCAGAAAAGAGGAGTAAACGGGCTGCCTGCATCGCCATGAGCCTAGTCACTGCTGGGAAGACCACCACAGCCCAGGCTGCTGCCTTCTTGCAACCCCAGAAGGCACCCTGGCAGCAGCCTGTCCTCCACATATTCTTTCTCTTCTTGTTTGTGGCAATAAATCAGGTCATTTGAATACAGATCATGTTCGGCACATCACATGTTCTAGGATGTGCCTTTTATTGCTTTGAAAAGTAGCCTGGCATCTATAAATGCTTCTCTCTGCAAAGAGCAAAACAAAATGAAGCAGAGCTCAACAGATAGGATCAAAGAGACTCAATGAATAATTTAAACACACTTCTCAACTGGAAGCCTGGTGAATTAATTCCAGCAAAGATACCCATTTGGATTTCATGAGGCCAATCCACCCAGAAAGCCAGGCTTCTTTGTGCTAGAGGGGAGCTGCAAGCCGTTTTCATTGCTGCAGTTGACAGCCTCACATTAGCAATCCCTCCTTTTCATTTAATCAAAACCTAATTAAGTATGCATGTGAAAAGGAACTAAGACATACAGAGACTCACACAGCAATCAAATACACATACACGTGCATGTGGACAGACACACATACACAAATGCATGCATATACCCCTTAAAACTTTAAATACTGTGACTGAAGATGGCCTTCCTCCTTTCCTTCCTTCCTGTTTTGAGACTATGTCCTGTTTTTAAGGGTGCCACTATGTAGCTCAGGCTGGCCTCAAACTTGCTATGTAGCAAGGCTGGCCTTGAACTCTGGATCCTCCTGCCTCAGCTTCCCAAGGGCTTAGGATGGTGAGCCCAGCTCCATAGATAGTATTTCTCTTAAGTCCCGTTTTTCCCTTGAAACTTTCTGTTGGATGAAAATGGGCTGCTTGTCTTCAAGTGCTTTTCTTCCAGTTTGTATTCTGAAAAAAAATTTTTTTTTTTTGCAATACTAGGACTTGAACTCAGGGCTTTGTGCTTACTAGATATATGCTCTACCTCTTTAGCCAGTTTGCATTGGTTATTTTGAGAGAGGGTCTTGCTTTGTGCCCAGGCCCACCTGGACCATGATTCTCCTATTTTTGTTTCCCCATGTAGCTGGGATGATAGGCATGCATCACTGTGCTCAGCCACTGGTTGAGATGTGTGTGTGGGGAATCTCATTTTTCCCAGGCTGGCCTCAAATCATGATCCTCCCAATCTCAGTTACCCAAGTAACTAGGATTATAGGTGTGAGCCACCAGCACCCGGCCTTATACTCTAAATTCTACTCCCAGGATGCTCTCTCTTCTCTATTTTCTGCATGATAGTTATCACGGAGAGTGTCCCAGGCTTCTCAAGACATGGGGTCTAAAGCCCAAAGGATTCTGGTATAATTTTATCAGGGCTCTTTCTGTGTCTTCCTCAGAGCACACCTGCACTTGCTTCTGCAGTGGAGCTGGCTTACACAGCTGTGGACTTCATGTCTCTGGCTGGTTCCCCCAAAGATATGTGGCCTGCATGCCACCAACCTGCTCCTGGACTGGAGAGCTCAGTGGGGAAGACTAGACAAGGGAGCACTTGGCAAAGAAGTACAAGGTGGAGGCACCACATGGCTGTGCTTCCTTCCCTGCCTTTCACAATGCTTTTTCTATAATGTTCACCTGTGGCCAGTTAAAAAATATGTTTACTACAGTTTACCAATAACTCTGTAGGATACCAACTAACTTAAGAATTAAATAAAAGGAATTGGGTCAAACCAAGAGACAGACCCAAAGGCAGCATTAACTCACTGTGGAGGGAGAGGTGCTTCAATTAAGGTAGGCTGCCCAGGTCACTGGTGTACAAATGAGGACATTGGGAAACTAAAAGAGGCCACTCACAATGGCATGGGGTTAGCAGGTGGAAACGGGGAGTGTCCCAGGCTTCTCAAGACATGGGGTCCAAAGCCCAAGGGATACACCCAGCAGAAGCTGCTCCTTCCACCTACTTGAAATGACAGCTTAACCTGAAGCAAAGTATTCTAGAACATCCTCTGACTGTGTCATAGACATGCTTTTTTAAATAAGTAGAAGATTAACAGTTGACATGTTTAAATTTGTTCTGTTTGAACTTAAGACTTTCATAAGCACAAGAAGAAACAAGTCTGTTTCTCTAAGGATGAAAAACGCAGATCCAGAGAACTAGAATGTGTTTTGGTCACCTGGAAGAAAGCCTGGGATTTAGCCAGGCCGGCTCCAGTTCAACCAGCCTGCCTCAGAGTACGTGACCTCCGGCAAGGTTGAGCGTTACTTTCCTCATCTATTTCTATTTTGTCTTGTTGTAATGACCCATTATGATGACATCACTAGCTGGGAAAGGAAGCCCAGGGTAGTACTGCTCCAACTCCTATGTCTTCCTGGTGGCCCAGTATCTCAATAGCGCAGATCTGAGCTTTCTGTGACAAAGCCCAAAAATGACGACAGTGCCCGTGCTCTTTATCCACCCACATCACTTCTAGAACACTGACTCTGAAGTTCCAAACTAAATGTTGCTGGTACTTTTGTGGTTATCTCCTTTTGCCTTAAAATTTGGTTGCCATAGTTACCAGTCATCTTTGCTGGCACAGAGCACAATGCTATGTTAAAAACCAGTTTTTATGAGTTTATTTTTAAAAGGGTAATATATAATGATGAATACCTTAAAAATTCACAGATTGTCTACAAATTTGGAAAATGCAGGAGGCAGAGGTCTCTCTCAAACCTGTTTAGAGAGACCCTCAGCAATGCTGTGTTTTCTTTTTTAAGCAGGCAAAACTACATATTCATTTTTTAACTAAAAATAGGATTTTTATATGCACACTGCTTAAAAATTTCCTTCCTTCCTTTCTTCCTTCTTTCCCTTCCTCCGTTAATAAACTATCTTGGACATCTTTCTATGTTCATGTGGTTTCTCTTATTCTTTTCTTTGTCAACTTTTTTTTTTTTTTTGGTGGGACTGGGGTTTGAACTCAGGGACTTATGCTTGCAAAGCAGCTTCTCTACCGCGTGAGTCACACCTCCAGTCCATATTGCTCTGGTTATTTTGGAGACTGGGTATTGTGAACTATTTGCTTGGGTGGCCTCAAGATGGATCCTTCTATCTCAGCCTTCCAAGTAGCTAGGATTATAGGTATGAGCCACTGACACCTGGCTAAACTGACTTTTCTAAGTAAATAAACAAAGTGGCATGGAGCATTACGGGGAGTGTAAAAAACCTCCATAGGAAGTGACTTGGCTAGGTGCACATAAAATGATCTTCCTACCATCAATACACTTGCAAAGTTGATCCTCAGGTCTCAGGTAAGGCAGGACCAGAAATGACTTCTTTAAGACAGTAAGTGTGACTATTACTGTGGCTGGATCCGGAAGTACAGTAGTCAGCCATCATGTTCACTTTCAGTCTTGCTTTCTGGACACAGAGTTGAAAACTCATTTTCTGGTTCTGTTCCAGATGGCACACTAGTGTCAGTATTATTAGTAGTGGTATCTGCTTTCAGTTGAAGTGGACAACACTTCATCCCTCTTACGAGTGCCCCAAGTGAGTCAGCTGGCTGAGGAGTGTCCCAGAGAGTGGGCAGTCAAGAGCATGTGCATCTGCCCCAGCCCACCCAGGACTTCTGAGGAGCACAGCAGTCCTTCCCAGGACTGACGCACCCATCACTCTGGGGACACACCATGTGCAGTGTAGCCAGCATCTCTGACTGACACGCTTCTCCCCCGCCTTGGTGAGTTTATGAGTTTACCTTCTGGGTCCTCCTCCCCTCGCTGCACTCCATCCTTCAGGCTCTGCTCGCTGAGGTCTGCCACAATGCCACTGCTGCGCTTCTTCCCTTCCTCATCACCTGATTCTTCAGATTCAACCCGCCTGTCAACTGAGTCCACACCTACTGGTGAGAATTCATGGCCACTAACACCCAGTTTTAGGTCAGTATAACTTGATTCAGAAATAGCTCATGAACACCCAAGTGCCTCCTGTGTTCCAGCACCATGTAAGGCACACAGTGGCAGGGAAAACGGGGTGGGGGGGGACGACGACAGAGCATGGAGGTTACACAGATAATTGGGTGAGAAACACCATGTCCCTGTCCTCAAGGACAGGGAGGAACTGCCAAGAGTTCTGAAAGCCTATGGATTGCCTGTGATCAAATGCACTAACGGCAGCATGCAGTGAAGCACCTGCTGTATAGATCTCACTTTTGACCACATCATCATTCATGCCCCACTACCCATTTGGCCAAGAAGCCCATGTTCTGAAAGAAACCAAGACTAGCCAAATCAGACTATGGAGACTTAGAAGCTTTAATGAAAACAAGAATGCATCAATGGTGTTAAATGTCCTCTGTAAATGTCACCGATGTTAAAGGTCACTAATAGAGTGTATCAACTCCAGCTTTAAAAGGCAGGTAAAGAAATATTTTTTGAGTTAATAAGGCAATGTGACATGCTAGCAAAAAATTCCCAATAAGTCTGTTAAATAATTATCCTTTTTCATAACTTTTTTCATGATCTCTTTTGGAAGTCTGTCTGGAATACCTAAGGCACTACCACATTGGTTGGAATTACCAAGCACACTCAAAGTGTTCTCCTTCTATGATTTTTTTTTTTTTTGCAAAGGGATGTACTCCTGAGGGTACAGAAATTTCATTTCATTTTTATTTCCTGCTGTGCTTAGCAAAGCATACACAGGAAAGGATGATGGACAAAACAAATTCGCTTTAAAATCCACCTCCAAATCCACCAAATCCATTCCTTCTTCCTTTATCCAGCAACTGCCTTGGCTCAGCTTTTGAAGCCTGCCTCCAGACTGGTCTCTCTTGCTTATCTTGTTTTGCTTAACCTATTCGCCATCGTCACAGAATCTGATCTGATTCTAAAACCCAAATCTGATCTCTGATTTCATAAGTATTTCTGGAATGCCAATGGTTCTTGCTCTGAGATGCAGCTTTGTCAAATCACTTTTTTTTCCAAGCCTCAGTCTCCTCATCTATAGAAGGGAACTAGTGGAGCACCCGTGACTCAGAGAGTTATTGTTATAATTAGGTTAGCATGTGCACAACATGCAAGAGAATTTAATAAATGAATTACCATTAAGCACAGGGCAGACTTTAGTTCAGGCTCAGGGAGACCAAGTTCTGGGTTAAAGCCTATGAACCTTCCCCCAGGAGGGGCCAGAGGAGGGGGAAGGCAGCTAAAGTGCAACATGTGAATCTATCCTGAGGGCAACAGAGAGGGTCTGGAGCCTGGGCAGCCAATCAGCACATAAGAGAGTAAACGTGGGGCTTTGGGTACCATGGCTGGCATGGGATGGCAAACAGGCAATAAAATCTCCCAGAAGAGGAAGATCTGAGCCAAGGTACTGTAGAATATCTGTAGAGATGGTGGAGTGAATAAAGGAAGTGTGGAAAATTTATAGCTATTGAAGCAGAAGGAGTGTCAGAGCTGGTAACGTGTGGGAGTGGAAGAGAGAAAAACCTGGCTTTTGTATTTGCCCTTTACCAAAAAATGGAAACAGTGGAAGAGGGAACAGGAGTGGGCTGGAGGACTGGGGGAAAAGGGGATACAAAAAAGCAATTTTTTGCTTAAAAAAAGTTTCAAGGGCCCCTAACGTGACTCCCTCCAAGACCCTCCTTGACCTTTTCTGGCCACCCCCCATCATCACATATGACTGTCACCCTCGGTGGACCTCTCCTCCACACACCCCTTTGCAGTCTGCCTGGGTTTTCTTTATCTGGAAGGATATTTGATTCCCACGACTCCACCCTACCTGGCTGACATCTAGTGATTCTTTAAGGCCCAATTTAGACAGCAGTCATTACTCTCAAACATGCCAGCCTTTCTGCTCCCTCTCTCCCAGCCCTGGGACCTTCGTCCCTGGCACTTTTCACAAGAGACAGCGACTTGTTCCTCTGGAAGTCTGTACCGTGCACTCAAGCAGTGGAGCCGAAAGCGTTTAAGCAGAGTCCGCCGGCTCCAAGTGGGGACGAGGGTGTGTGAATGTGCGAGTCTACGTATGCATACAATTATGCATATGTTTACACCACTACGTGTACACAAATTACATGCATAAGCACATGCAGAAGATGACACGCTAATTCCAGCAAGACGGAAAGCGAAGATGTCGAACTTCTCGTTTCAAGACCACGAAAGCCTAGAAAACAGGCACCGCCTCGTGTAACTAAATCTTCGAGCTTTCTCTCAACCCTTTGCCAAAACCCGTTCATATTGCAGAGCGGACCCTTCCCCACCCGAGCCACGTGAACACGCCGCGGGCTCCGCAGGTCCCCCAGCCGGCAGCCTCAGTTTCCCCGCGAGCTGGCAGCAGGCTGCCCCTCCCACCCCACGCCTGTCAATCTCAGAGGTTCGGGGCGAGGCTCCCCCACCTCCGCCGCTTCCCCGTCAGCCCCCGTTGGGCTCGCGCCGTGTTCTTCCCCGGACTGTGGTCCTTTCCGGCCGCTGCCGCCTACGGGCCGGGGCTCCCCGGGTCCGTGCTTCTCCCGCCCCGTCTAGCCCGGCTAGCAGCTGTCAATGGTCTGAGGTCCTGGCCGGAGGCCAGACGCCAAGCTGCTCTCCGGCGAGGGGCCTTACGGGCTCGCTGTCCCCTCCCGTCACTCCCCCGCCACCCGCAGGGGCCGCTCACCCTCCATCATCTCCTGCGACTGTTGCTGCCTCGCGCCGCGCTCCGCCGCCATATTGGCTGCTCTTCCTTTTTCCGGAATCTGTCGCCTCAGGGCCCTGGACCAATCAGCGCTCCCGGCCCCGAGCCGGCCAGCCAATAGAGCCAGGCGCAGCGACTTAAGCTGATGGGCCTGCGTGAACACCGAGCCTCATGGGAGTTGTAGTTCCCGCCAAGTCCCGTCTTCTTCCGCCCCCCCCCCTTCGGAAGGTGTTGGAAGAGCGTGCAAGGTGCTGGGTGGAAGCGGGTGTTCCGACAGAGCGTCTGACAGCGTGGGAGATGCTCTGGGCTCTCGGGTTCGCGTAAGTCTCCATGCCGACTTCGGAGGCATGGAGGGACAGTGCCGGGACGATCGCTCCACGGGCTGCAGATGCGGCCAATTGCACGTGCATCCCCGGCGTCCGAAGCCTCGCTGCTGCATCTGCACGATAAGGCGGGCGGCCAGAGCAACCACTTTCTCCTGTGTTGATTTACCCGCGCGAAAGGCCCCCCCTTTAGCTGACGCTCAATGCAGACGGGAGGGCCGCAGGCCGGCTCCGGGGCGCTAACCAGCCGCTCCCAGCCCACTGCGGATGTCATAGCCTTATCCGCCTCCGTCCCGTGCCCACCGCCTTGAGAAAGTGTTGCTGAGAGGCTAGACACGCGCCGCTCGCCTTCTCGATTCCGCGACGGAAAAAACGGCGTCCGCCAGGTTGGGGGTGCGGAGTCCTGGTTTATGGCTCCGCTGAGTCGCCGTAGGGGGCGTCCGGTGCGTCCCTAGCAACTGTTCGCGCGGGCTTCTCTCTTAGGGCTCACCGAGTCCCGCCTACAAGCACCTGTGATTGGCCCATTCGACCCATCAATCGGCGCAAGTCGTTTTTCGATTGGTCCATGGCCTTGACGCGCGCGTCGGCTCCCTCCGCGTTGTGAAGCAACTGGGCGCTGTGACCCTCGCTGGTCCCAGGTAAGACACCTGCGCTCGGGAGAGCGGTTGCTGAGAGTCGCTATCCGTTCGCATCCCCGGCGACGCGACGCACTCTAGCGCACGGAGCTTGCCTCCGGTCCCCTGGCCCTCCCGGCCGCGCCCCTTCCTTCCGGTCCACGCCCCAGGTTGTGCCACCAGCTCGATCCGCGGCTCGGTGGCGGGTTCCGGCGGTTTGACCCGAGTGTTCTGATAGTGTAACCCTATGGGGTTGGAGCTTCTCGTCTAGCTCTAATTGTGCGCGTTTTCTCAGCTTATCCATGGCCTGCTCTCCTTCGAGCCTGCGTCCTGCGCTCTGCTGCTCTCCAGCGCTGCGCTCCTGCACGTTTGGGCGAGGAATGAATGAGCTGCTTCTGTTACTGGATCCCCGCCCCCCCCCCCCCCCCCCCCGGACTTTATACCTGATCTTAACCGCATTTTCTTTTTCCCAGAGCAGTTGCTTGAGCTGAAAAACTTGGGAGGCTTCTTCACCCTCTGCAGCTCTTCACTTGGGAAATCCAGTCAGTCTGTGCTAGTTTTTCTCTTGTGGGTGCCCTTCTCTCCATCTTTCTCCCGTGGTCTTAAAAACTCACAATTTCCACCCTGGATTACTGTAATTTTTCCCCTCATTCCAACCTTGCCCCTACCTTGTTCTTAGAATGATCTTTGTGAAATCCAGACTGCCTGGGAAGGTCTAGGAGGTTCTGGGATTTAGTGTCTGGTTTCTCCAGGCCTGTTTTCACCTGCTCTTCTGCACATTGAGCTCCTGTACTTCTTGCCTGACGAAAGGCTTCTTCACTCAGTTCCACAGGGCTCTGTAAGTCTCACATCCAGGAAGCCATTGCTGACCATGCAGTCTAGGAAGTGCCGGTTGCTTCTACCCTTCAGCACAGTGGCAGTTATTTGCATATTCATTAGGATGTCTGGATGCGAGAAACAAAGCCATAGGCTCAGAATGGCTCTAACTGAGGAAAGCAATTTGCCCCCAAACCCACAGTCCAGAGAAAGGAAGGGTTTAGGTTTGGTTGATTCAGTGGTTTTAAAATTTCCAGGTCCATCGTCCTCGCCATTTTCCGCTCTCTCCAGTGTCTCCTGGTTGGCTCCTAGAGAGGCTGGTTGCTCTTTGTTGTCCACTGGCAGTGGGAGCAATTTGCTTCCTAGATTTTGTCCTGGTGGGAGAGAGAGCTACTTGTAGAGGTTCACTTGGGAGAGCAAGGAGTGATTTCTCAGAGCTGCTCTCACTCAAAGCTGTCCTTGCTTCTATATTGTCTGGTGTGGAGTTCCTTGTACTTCTGGAATCGGAACTAGTAATGGGATTAGGATTACCCTGTGACACCACTGGGTGCTGTCTGGGTTCAGTTTCACATGTCTCCTGCTTGGAGCAGATACAAACAAAACAAAACAAAAAAAGTATTCTAAAACTCTAGGCCTGGACTTGTATGTATTTCTGGTTAAAACTTAGTAAAAACTAAACCTGTGAGGAATTAAGTGATGGATGGATAGACTGCATGGTGAGGTCTGCCAGGGTGATGCTGAGGTCTTCTGATCCCTGTGGGGTAGATGTGCTGCTCAGTGCTCAACTGGCCCATATGGACCTTAAACAGAACTGGAAATACAGAAAGAAAAAGGATTAATCTTTACTGATACCTTCCCCACACATCCCCAGTCAGCCAGTATATGACTTTTCTCCTTACCATTGTAGGTGCCATTGTAACTGTGAGAAACTAATTAAACATGTTCTTATTTTCCATGAAAGACAAAAAACTCCTTGCTTTTATTTTCCCTTCAAGTATCTTTCTGTTCTTCCCATTTTGTTACTTTTACAAAGAAAAATTTTACAACATTTATAATGTATTCTGAGAGTTATATTATTTTTAAGATAGTGTTACAGCATTGACAATGTAGTCTGAAGAGTTGTATTATATTTTTTACAAATTGAGATTTTGTAACAATGTATTCTGAAGTTGTCATTTTTTTTTTTGAATCAAGAGTACATTTACAATGTATTCTGACTTCATAATTAAGTGTTCTAAGTTTTGTTTATAGGTTGGTTCTCAAAGTATAAAACTCCAGTATGATCATGTCATTGTTATTTATTGTAGCAATAACTAGTGCATTTAGATGCCTAGAGGAGACATGAATCTGTAACATTTAAATGTTGGGACTTGAAGGAAAGCAACACTTTGTAATAATTATTTCTTTCTAGGTTCCTACACATTTTTCAGGTTGTAATGAGCCATTCTTTCTAGGATCCCATGGGGTGTGTGTGTGTGTGTGTGTGTGTGTGTGTGTGTAAAACATCTCTTAATTTTAAAGTATGCATTGGTTGATCAATGCAAAAGAATGAAGGTAATGAATCATGACTTCTAATAATAAAGTGGACACATTTAAGCCTACCACCCAAATCAGGAAGCAGGGTACTCCCCCTGTGCCATTGTGCCTCTTTGGAATTTCACCCCTCTGCCTGACCTCAAGAAACCACCTGCCTGAAATGTGGGGTTTTAGTCTGCTTCTGAAGAAATAGTCTTATCATGTTTGTGTGAATCCTTAAAGGATAAGATTTATCCTTGCTTGTGTAATTCACTTGTTTTTACTGCTGTAGTTCATAACATGAGTATACCAGAATTTTAAGTCTATTCTTTTGTTGAGTGGTTAGGTTGCTTCATTTCATTCCTTCTTGCCTTTCCCTCCCTATCCACCTCTCTTTTTTGCCTGTCTTTGCTATGATGGCCTGACCAGTCTTGTGTGTATCTTCCTACTCATATGCAAGAATTTCTAGAGAATATAAATCTAAATGGAAAATGCTGGCCTAGAGTAGACAAATGTTTGACTTATTTTCTAAAGAGATTATAGTAAATTATTAGGGTTCCTATTGATCCAAACCCATATCAACATTTGGTATTATCAGAATTCTTAATTTTTGGTGATTTACTAGGTGTCACAGTATCATGATTATGTTAGTGATGTTAAAACTTTAGCCATAGGTTATTGGTCCCTAGGATTTCCTCTTCCATGTACTCTTGTCTCTACTTCTTGTCACTTTTCTGGTGTTTAAAAGTTACCATGTGTTTTTAAAATTTTTTTTTAAATGTTAAATTATTTACCTTTAAAACTGTTCTGGATATTCTTTCTTGATTATTCATGTGGCAAATAACTTTTCCCAATTTGTAGCTTGTCATTTCATTTTCTTCTCATCCTTTTCTTCTTTCCCTCTTCTTCCTCCCCCTTCTCTGCTTTAACTTATGCTCTCTACCATTGAGCTATACCTGCAGCCCCCTGTTTTTCTTACAAGAGATGGTTTCACTATGTTGTCCAGGTTGGCTGCAAACTTACAATCTTACTGCCTCAGCCACAACGAGTAGTTGAGACTCTAGGGGCATGCCACTACACACAGCTTCATTTCACTGTCTTCTTTGTATTTCTTATGAGCACATGTTCTCAATTTTAATGTTAAGTTTGTCAGGCTTATAGGCAGAAATTTTTTGTTTCCTGTTTAAGAAACTTTGCTTACCCCAATGACTCACAGAAAGTGTTCTATTTTCTTCTGAAAGCTTGGTCTTTTATACCCTGGGCATTGTTTTTGTGTATGGTGTGTTGATAGCTGTGCTCTCATTGTTTGCATTTGGACAGCAGCTTGTCCCGGCACCTGTGCTGAATAGCCTTGTTTCTTCCATGGTCAGCACCCCTCCCTCAGTCACATGTCACATGCTCATGTGCCCTGGCCTGTTGCTGTACTCCCCGTTGGTCCATTTGAACAATTTGTTTCATCCTGCACAGCTGCACCAATACAAAAATGCTGGCTTTCTGCTCCATTCTCATATCTGGGAAACTTAAGTGCTTTCATCTCCTCCCTGACCCACACTTGGTGAACAGAGGTTCTGGATTTGTATGTGTATTTATTTGTAATTGAAGACCAGTCACTTTTATCTCTTCAAATATTTCTTCCTCTTCATTCTTTCTTCAATTATGTGTTTGTTAGGTTATATCAGTCTTTATCTCTTAACTTTGCTGCCATATTTTTATCTTTTGTCTCTGTGTTGCATTCTGGAGTATTTATTCAACTGCATCTTCTAATTCACTATATGTCTTTTTAAGCTGTGACTACCTGGCTATTTTACCTGTCTGTTGACATTTTAAAAATTAACTTTATTGGGACGTAATTTACATACACTAAGTGTGCCCATGCTGAGTGTGTAGTTCAGGGGGCTCTGAGGTGTGTGTACAGCTGTGGAAACAGCCATAGTTAAGGCTCAGGACAGCCCCATCACCTACATCAAACCCTTCCCTGCTTGCTACTCAACCCAGATCATCACTGCTCTGTTACTTCCCTGGAGATTGGGTTGGTCTTTTCTGGTGTTCAACATCAGTGGATTCCTGCCGTATGTGGTCTTTTGTGTCTGGCCACTGGTATGCAGTGTAAGGATTCTGACGTTCACCTGTGTCATTGTTTGTGTTGCCTGCACATTCCTTCTCATTGTTGAAAGTAAGATTCTTTTCATGAGGATAGACTTTTGTCTATCTGTTTGTTTATCTGTTCTGCTGATGAAGGATAGACAGTGTGGGGCTGTTATGAAGAAAGCTATTGTTAACATCATGTGTGTAATCATCTGTAGACATGTGTGCTCCTTTCTTTTGCACAGTCACCTTGTCCTGAGTCATTGGCAAACTGCTTTTCAATTCTCATCAGTCATCTAGCCTTCCATTGTTCCATATCTTTACCAAATTCTGCATTTTCATTCTTTTAAATTGTAGTCATTTGAATGATTGTGTAAAGATGGCACACTGGGTTTAATTTGCATTTCCCTGACAAATGGCAACATACATTACAAATGATGATGCCACACACACAAATAATAAAATGTGCCTCTCTGCCATTTGCATGTCATGTTTGGTGAAGTGTCTATTCAAAAATTTTTGCTCATTCTTTTAAAAAATTAGGTTGTCTTCTTATACTTGGCTTGCAAGAGTTCTGTCTGCTGGCTGCCAGCTGTGTGTTGGGTACA